CATATATATATATATATATATATATATATATATATATATATAGTATGTTCTAACAAAAATAACCTTAAATTTATATCATTGTTTAAAGATCCATACCAATATAAAATATTTGAGACTAGTAGTTGCCTTTTTGTGTGCTTTAAATTAGATTCAATAATCTACCCTTTTATTCTATCATTCCTATACCCCCTTTTTCTTTTCAGAAGTCCCTGCATTGAACCTACTTTGTTTAGTTTTTCCCTGACCATGACCAGTAGCAGCTTGCAACCAACCCCCCTAAAAGATGACAAACATTTATAACCCACCCACCTCACCTCTTGGGAATGTGAGCGGTGTGTTCTCTAGACTGCTTCCTGTTGTCTGGGGACGTTGACATCTCCAGGGGACCCTCAGAAAATTGGGATAATGATCAAGTCCTGGGAGAGCTAGCTGTATTAGTTTTTGTTTAATGTCTGTGTAACGGGAAAGTGTGTGGTTTTGCCACATGTTGGATGCCAAATATAGTGTCTTTTTTTATTGTTTCATTAATAAATAAAGCTCAGGAGTCAGATATTAGGGTATAAACCTGATAGATGCACAGAATGGAGAAAATGATCAGCTGACCCTCTCCACAGGTACCAAATGTAGTAAATTTCTCATCGGACTTTCTGAGACTGCCAGCCCGTAAATTAATGACACGGAGACATACTATTAATTATAAAAGTTTGGCCTTTAGCTTAGGCTTTTTCTCCAACTAGCTCTTATAACTCATATTAGCCTGCTTCTACTAATCTATGTTCTGCTGTGTAGCTTTTACCTCTCTTCCATTCTGTCTGTCTGACTTGCTCTGCCTCTTGCTGGCATCTCTGCACACCTAGATCAATTTCCTTCCCCCACCCCCACGACCAGAAATCCCGCCTGTCTTCTCCTGCCAAGGTATTGGTCATTTGGCTCTTTATTAAACCAATCAGAAGGCACCTTGGCGAACAGTGTACAAAAAAATTATCCCACGACAGCCCTGGCTGTCCTGGAACTCCCTGTGTGTCTGCACTGGGACACAGGTCCTGTGCATGCTGTTAGAAATTATTGTTGAGCTAGATCTCCAGCCTTTGGACGATTTTGTTAGCTCAGGCTGGACTCAAACCCAGTCTTTCTTCAGCCTCCTGGGGTTACAGTCTGCTAAGTGTGTTGGAATTTTGTTGTCTTCTGTTCCTTTGAGACACAGTCTTGCTCTGTAGCCATGGCTGCCTGGAACTCACTATGTAGATCGTGCTGGCTTGGAACTTGACTCTGCCTCTGCTTCTGGAATGCTGGGATTACAGATGTGGCTACCACACCTGGCTTGGTGGCTGTTGCTTTGTGTGTCTGTGTGTGGGGTGCTGAGTCAGAACTGGAGTTATTGGAGTCTGTGGGAGTCTGGCTTGTTCTGTGGGTACAGGGGTCTGAGCTGTGGTCTGCATGGTGGTGCAGCAAGCTCTTAGCACTGAGCCATCCATCTGTCTCTCCAGCCCTGCCTTGCTCTTAAAAACCATAGCTTGTGAAGCTGGGTGTGGTGTTGCAGCCTTTAATCCCAGCACTCTGGAGGCAGAGGCGGGTGAGTCTCTGGGAGTTTGAGGCCAGCCCAGTATGGAACTTGAGTTCCAGGGCAGTCGGGTATAGAGAGATTGTGTCTTAAGCAACAACAACAAAAAGAACAGAAACAAAGAAAAAGAAAGCAGTGTAGATTGCTAGGCAGCCCACACTCACTGCCCATCCCTGCCCTTTCCCTGAGGCCGGACTTGACTCCAGGCCCTCGGGTGTCAAGGGCTTCTCTCCTGTTTCATTAAGTTCCTAGCTGGCACAGCCTACGCAACCCTGATGCCCCCTTTGGTAAGGATGCCCAGCCTCCTGCTTACTGGGGTTCAGGGTTGTGGTTTTTCTTCCGCAGGACTGCGGGCTCCAGCTGAGCGGGGAGGAGGGACGCCGCTGCTACCCCCTGGAGGGGCATCTGCTCTGCCGCCGGTGCCACCTGAGGCGCCTGGGACCCGGCCCGCTCCCCTCGCCGGCTGTGCACGTGACTGAGCTCTGAGAAGCAGCCATCAGGAGAGACGGGGTGACCCACACCCCCCTCTCACCCCCTCCACCGAGCTGCTGTCCCTTACGCAGGGGCCGGACCCCTGCGACAAATAATCGATTTCTATTTATTCACCGTCCGTGCCTCAAGCTACTCCCCTGCTGGGTTCCAGGACACCCGCACCCTGCAGCCTCGGGACAGGCCCAGCTCCTCTGCCCAGCTCCTCTGCCTGACCTCGGCTCCCAGAGGGGCAGGGCTTGGAGGGCCTTGGTGCCATGGGGGAAGGGTGCCTTGTTTGTGTGTGATCACAGCCAGGGGGCAGTGACAACCTGGGAACACCGCGGTTTGGCCTTGATGGGTGTTTTCAGCCACAGTCCTCCACCTCTCGGGATCCAGTCTGGGCCGGTGCTTTTCCAGCATCAGTCTCAGAAGACCCTGAGCGAATTCAAAGGCAGAGAGAAAGCCCACGAGAGCTCCCAGCAGACCCCGGGAGCATCTGCGCGCACTGTATCAGGCTCCACCACAAAACTATGTGATTTGACTTAAATTAAGTTCCCCCCAAGGAGGATGTTGACATTTTCTTGAAAAGAATATAGTTTTCTTCTAAAAACTTGGACCGAAGTGGTTATTTCTTAGTCCCCGCAGATTCTCCTGTGCGAGCATGTTCTTGTAACACGCAGCTGAAGAGGTGGTAAGAATGTTTGTAGTGTGGAGAGAAGGTGGAGGTGCTGGGAAGTTGAAGTTGGTTAATGAAGACATTGAAGCTGTGCTTGTGGATGGCCCTTTTAGGGTTCTTTATCTCAATTTAAAAGTTTAGAGATGGACTGGGAAGGAAGCCTAAGGACAATTTCATTAGAGTTTAAGGTCAAGGGTGCAGGTTAGGTGAGAATCCAAGCAGCCTCCAGGAGAGATGAAGAAAAGGGCGTGCTTTCTAAGGGGGCGGGGGGACTTGCCCATGTCTGCTCAGCTGTTGTGAGGGCACCAGGCTTCGGGGGGGGGGGGGGTGGGGGGGGGGGGGGGGGGGGGGGCGAGCAGCAGCCCAGGAGGGAAGTAAGCTAGCGAGCTGAGGACAGCCCCACAGCCTCCCGCTTTTATAGTGTGCGCCCCCTCTTGGGTGTCCCCGGCGCCTGCACTGTTTGTCAGAAGATGCCAGGGTAAAGGCTTCCGGTCTTTCTCTGCAGACTGGCTGCTTTCATGTTACTCTTCATGTAACTTTCTCCAGTTTCTGTTCTGTCACACTAGGGACCAAAACGGGCGCACAGCACTGGACAGTAGAGAAACTGATACCGTTGATCCAGCCCTGCTGAAGTCTGGGAATAGGGCGCCCCCTGGTGGGCTGAGGAAGCAAACAAGTACCTAGATGCTTAAAACTGGTTTTTAGTCCTGAGGTTCGGGAAGTGTTCCTAGAGATGGGGACTTGGACAGCGGCCAGAGTGGCTTTCTAGAAGAAGTGACCCCAGTGGGACCCAAAGGATAAATTCCAGAAGTAGTAGTCTCACTTTTTGGCTTTTAGTTACTTTTGAACTAATTGGGTTTCTTTTTTTTTTTGTTTGCTTTTCCACCCAAGTGGATATGGAGCCCAGGGACTCCCACATGCTGGGGAAATGCTCTACGACTGAGCCACACCCCCAGCCCTCCCTGGAGGATTCTAGGCAGGGGCTCTACCACTGAGCCACACCCCAGCCCCTCACTGGGGGATTCTAGGCAGGGGCTCTACCACTGAGCCACACCCCCAGTCCCTCACTGGGGGATTCTAGGCAGGGGCTCTACCACTGAGCCACA